AAAAGGAAGGCTCCTGGCCCATCTGCAAAGCAGAGCTCAGCCCCGTCCCAGGGGTGGCTGGATGTGGGATGGGGGGTCTCCCACAGAGAGGGGAGCAGCAGCTCTGGTGGCCCCTGAGTTCTGGCTGGTTCCCCATTGCTGAGTTTCACATTCTGAAATGAGCTCTAAGATGTAACAATAACCCATATTGTTCTTGCAGCCCAAGGGCCTTGTCCTTGGGAGTGGGAAATGCAATCGTGCACAAAAAACTGCCTCTGTTGCAGAGTGTTTCCTATTATGTCCCTTTAAGACTTCCCTCAGTTTCCAGGGATTTTCTTTCCAGACTGGAAACCCTTTAGGTACAATGGAGAATTTATTTTATAGCCCCAAATTCTTTCCCTTAAATGGGAAAAAAAAAAAAAAATCTATCAGGTTCCTTGGCACAGATTCATAACAAATGTTGAAAAGTGCAAGAAGAACGGAGATAGATAGTGCTTGTGCTACTGAGAGCCCAGGAGCTTGGAAATACTGGAATGCCAGGGGGAAATACTGGAAGCAGACAGCAAAATATGATCCAAAAATGAACCTTAAAGAAAGATAAGGAGCTGAAATTTTCATCTGGTCTAAACTCTTTGAATGAATTTTGAAGTCCTGGGGGTGCCCCAAATCCCCTCGTTCCCTGGCTTCCCTCCCTGCTGCTGCCTGGAGGGGCTGGCAGAGCTGTGCCCCTGCTCAGCTGGCCCCACTCTGCCAACAGCTCCTGCGGGAGGAGGGCAGGGAACACGCCTTGGTTATCAGAGAAGCTTCTGGTTCAGGTTCCCACAAAGCACCACCCCCCTGGCTCCAGCTTTCTGCCTTTCTCAGGATGTGCATTTCCTCCGGTGCATCCGTTCAGTCTCTCCCGTGCTCACTGACCACAGGCACGGATCCCTGGCTCCTCTTCCCAAGGATGGCTCCATCAGACCCAGCTCTCCTCTCTTCTCCATGAGGATGACTCTGGGGGGCACTGGAAGCTACAGAAGCACTAGCCTGTTCCCCCAGGTGTGTAAAACATCACCTCCAGGCTGTGCCTGTCTTGTTCACATCAGGTTTGAGACCAAATACAATTGCTCCAGGAAGGAAAAATACACAGGCCTTTCTGCTGGTTGAGGAATGAAAAGCCCCCAGTGGGTCGATTTGTCCATGTCACCCATCTGCTTGGGAACTTGCAGAAGGATCTGAAAAGTTTTCTGCTGCCTATCAACGCTGTAGGCCAAATGCTTGGGGCCCCAGGTCCTGTCCTTCCCTGGAGGGGCCAGTGGCAGCAGGACTCCCCCAGCCCCTGTGCCCATGTACCCCAATGCCCTCCCTGTCCTCTGCTGCTTTTGATTTTGGGCACCAAAATTCCCAACAGCCTTGAAACAAAACCTTTACCCCAGCACCTGACCCAGCCATCCCCTGCCCTGCTGAGACTCATTTTCTAGCATGACTAAACATCTAAAAAGGTCAACAGCTAAGAAATCTCTGTCCTCTCTGAATTCCAGCATTGGTGTGCTCCAAAAAGCATTTTTCTGTCCAAACTCCTCATTATAACACAGAATTCTGGTGAACATGTTGTTTTCTGCGGAAAGCAGTTGCAGTGCAGCTCTTCAGTAAAGCACACGAGGCTCATTCCCTGCAAAGGGCGAAGGATGTGGCAGGGCAGCCCTTGAAACCCTGCGCTCCTGCCGGCTCTGGAGGGGCTCAGCAGATCCCACCCCTCCAGGGAGGACAGAAATTCCTGTTGTCAGGCTTGCAGCAGATGAAAAGGTGGCTCTGGCCGAGCCCCCGTGGCTCTGCAGGGCTGAGGACCCTTCCAAGCTCTGCGGGCTGGGGAGGAGAAGGTGCCGAGGGAAGGGCAGGAGAGAGCCCAGGGTAGGAAGCAGCGCTGAGAGCCCAAGCTCGGGCAGCCCTGCCCTGGCAGTGGCACCCAGGGACAGGGACACCCAGCCCAGCCAGCACTCAGCCCTGCAGCCAGGGCTGTGTTACACAAATGAACTCACCTCTAGCTCAGGTGGGACCTGGTCACAGCCTGCACTGACTGCAGCCCCCCTGTCCCCGTGTCCTCCCTGTGGCTCAGGCTGAAGCTTCTCACCACCCCCTGTCCCCGTGGCCCCTGGCACAGCGAGGTTCCTCCCTTCTCCCAGCCTTTATGTTCTGCCATTCCAACACCAAGATTCCTCGGAATTGTCATAGTAGAGATTTTTATTTTAGAAGAGTTATCAGCTACCTACTTTTGTCTTTTTCCATTCATTAAATATTAACAACATAATCAACAACAGCCAATGTAATGCAAAATTTAAAAGGCCCTCAATTCAAGCTGTAAAGCTGCATTAAATGAGGAAATCCCAGCAAACTCCCAAACCTGAGAATAACCATCACGTTTGAAAAGCAAGCAGCCATTTCAGTATTTCACAGCTGTTCTCCAAGATCCTTTGATGGCCTTTCCAGTTCAATCTTAGCCTGTATTGTTAACTGACCTCCCCTCTCCTGTTGCTCTGCAGAAGGAGGGGTGGTTCTTCATCAAAACCAAAGAGGTTAATTAATTTCCTCTGTTCAGCAACACATCAAAGCCCCCTCCTGAGGGGGTGTGCAGGTGGTCTCTGCCTGCCTTGCCCAGACCAATCCCTTTCGTTTGGGAAGGGCTGTGCAGGGGACAGAGGAAGCCAGCAGCAATCCAGCTCTTCTGATTAGCCAGGACAACACAAGCTCCATGCCAGGAGATCCATAAAGCAGCTACAGTTCCTTCCTAGCCTGAAGCTATTGGTCCTGCAGGGGTGGTTTTCAGCTTTCTGCAGTAGAAGTCCCGATAAAATGTGAATTTTGGGCTGCTACCCGTGGCTGCACAAAGCCTTCCTGCTCCCGAAGGAGAGGACGAGGGGAGATGGATGGCAGCAGTGTGGGGGCTGATGTGGGCTGGGTGAATCTCAGGGGCTGTGGCTTCAGGGAATGTGCCTTCTCTGGGAGTGAATGCCCATGGTGCTGGCAGCTGCCTTTCCATTTAAAGCAGCTAATAGTCCCCAGAACTCCTGCAGACAAGGGAATTCAATGAGATGCATTGGAAAACATCAGGCTCAACAGGGTGAACTCAGGCCTCAGAGTATCTGTCCTTTAAGCATCTTCCTTTGTGGATTTCAATTTACTAAACCAAAAAAGAACAGTTCAGTTTTGGGAAAAAAAACCCAAAAAAGACTAAAACTAGTGTTTCCCTGTGGAAAAAGTTTAATTAGGATAGGAACAAGCACAAACAAGCAGCATTTTGTCTGGGGAACCACCCAGGATCTTCAGTGGTTTGCTTTACAAGTTTTTGCAGTGCAATTTGAAGCCAAACCTCCCAATCATTTGCTTAATCAGGGGAAATGTGATGCTCCAGCCCTAATATGGACTAAAGTACATTTCAGGGGGGTGACTTTGTAGATACAAACAAATCCTTTAGCCTGCTCACAGTTTCCAGGTTTGAATTCAGTGTTCCTGGATCCTGAAGAAGCCCCTCAAAGAGAGCAGGGGCTGTCTCAGCAGCGAGCAGCTGGAAAGCTGCAGGGAGAGGAGATGGAGCTTCCAGGCAGTGCCTGCAGGAGGGCACCTGGAAACACTCCAGGTCACACAGCCCCAGCCCTTCAGTGCCTCTGTGGCACTGAAATGGGTCCATGTGCAAAGTTAATTGCAAGTTTCAACCTCCAGATTCTGACTTGTTTCCCTTGAAACTCATCTCCAGGACGGGCTCTCCAGTGTTCAGCTACGGGGAATGAGAGTGGAGCACACGCAGCCCCCGGTGCCCTCTGACACAGCCTCGAAGCTGCAGCCCCAGGGGTACAAAACTGACACAGGGGTGGGGCAGAGCACACCTTCTAGCAATTCATCATCCCCAGGCACTGATCAGTTCATTGGTTGGGTTAAAAAGTAACAGTTCTCAACCAACAGAGAAGTGGGAGATGACAGCCGGGTGATGGAGAGCAAGTCCTTGCTGTTTCACTCAATGTTCAATTGATATTGAACCCTGATGTCCCTTTCCGGGCTGTGATATCCCAAAGTGGTATCTTTCCTTGTTAAACCCCAAGATTTATGACCCAATGTCTTTCAAATCTGGTTCAGAAGAGGTGAACAGAAGGAAAATGCATCTGAAGGATAAAGGAGCCGGGGTGGAAGAGCTGCCTCCTGTTCTGCACTCGGGAGGTGCCTGCCTGACCTGCCCAAGCTGTTCTGTATTCAGTTACCTGTAACTTTGCCAAAGTTAAAAATGCTCAGGTTGGAATTTTCCACCATTTGTTGGTCTCTAGAAGGAATGAAAGGCCATCTCAGGAAAGTTAGCTACTTTCAGTGACTCAACCAGGAGAAAATTACACAATATTAAGAGGGATAAGATATTATTGGAGATTGTAAAGAATAAGAGATTCATCTGACATTTGCAGGTTGCACTTCTCTGTAGATTAACAAGGGAATGGAATTAGGATTTTATGAGAAAACCTTAATTTTACCATTTCATACCAATGGGCAGCTTTGTTTTGCAATCCAAGTATCCTTCTTACAAACTAACAGAATGAAATGATTTCAAATACACCACCATAATGAAATCAACACAGTAGGACCAGGATTCTGGGAGATCTCCCACTATATTGCACCAATAAATAATTCCTGCAGTTTGGGCTCTTCCTGATTCATCGTATAAAACCCAATTTTTAATTAAATAGATAAACAAGAACTTCTAAAAGCATCTACACAATTTGCTGGGCAATAAACATAAATGTAACAGATGGTTTTGCAGTGTAATCATACACTGGAGATACCAAAGGCACATGGCAAATTATCCACATGGTGACCTTTCTCTCAGGCTAAGAGACTTCTGCTGGATTCGGAACCATCCCTGCAGGAGAGCTGAACTGTGTCTGGCTGGACTCAGGACCATCCCTGGGATGGGTGTGGGATCGTCCCTGGGATGGATTTGGGATCATCCCTGGGATGGATTTGGGATCATCCCTGGGATGGATTTGGGATCATCCCTGGGCTGCATTCGTACTCTCCCACCCCACAGCCACAGCTGCTCCAGCAGTTGAATGTTTTCCACTCCTCCAGAGGACCTCTTCTTTCAGCCCAGCCTCCCCGAGGATTTTCACTGGGCCAAAGGAGAGTTTGGGCCCCACACACCAAAGCTGTGGATGGAACAGAACCCCCGAAGTCGTGGTCAGGGGTCTGCACAGGTTGTGGCGAGGTGTCCCCATTTCTGACCCTTGGGCTCTGCAGGTGGCAGTGAGGAGGGAGCAAAGCCCCTTGCTCCGTGCTGCAGAAGGAAGGACAGAGCGGGCTATGGGGTAAAACCGGTTCTATATTTAAGGGCTGCTCTGGGTTGTTATGGCAACAGGAATTCCAGCCACCACCGCGGGCTCCTCCGACGCCTCCCTGCCATCCTCTGCAGAGCCCAACTTTGCATCACGCAGCAGCCTCCTGCCTAACGCTTGGGCTGAACGGGAGCGGAAAAAATGTGCAGCTCATCTTCTCACAGAGCTTTATCCTGCGGGAGCGGAAAGCAAACGAGAACGGCTCTAACAACTGCCCGTGGATACGGGCACCAAAACCCAGCTCCAGCAGCTGAAGGGTTCAGACCCTCTCAGCCTGTGGGGCCCACAGGGACCCCCGGCATGGCAAAGCCAGCAGGTGTGTGCCCAGAGGGGAAGCACAGGGCTCCTGATGTGTCCTGGGGACTGTCCTGTGGGGTGGCAAGGACCCTGCTCCCACGGCTCAGCAGGACAGACCCGGGGCTCACAGACACCGGCGGCCACCGCGGTGCCGCTCCCCCAAGCTCCGTTTCTTCTGTCTGACTGCTAAAAGTCTGCATTTCATCCACACATCCATCTGTGTACTTATATGGTCCTCATCTCCACCATGGCCAAATCTCAAGGGCTACCAGGACATTGTTTGCTTTTTTTTTTGCAGCTATCATGCTGGAATTCATAAACAGAAAAGCTGTATGTGAGACACATGCCCTGCTACTTCAGCCTCGGCTGGAGTCCTGCATCCAAGTTTGGGCACTGCTCATCAAGAAAGTCAGGCCCCAACTGGCGAGAGCCCAGAGGGCAGCAAAAGGAGTGACCAGGGACGCAGAAAGCAGCCTCTGAGGAGAGGTGGAGGAAAGTGGGCCAGCTCATGGAAACAGAAGGCAGAGCAGAGATGGGGGAAGAGCTTTCCCTTCATAAAAAGCTTCCCTAGAAGACAGCAGTGGTTTGTGCTCTTGTCTGCTGGGAACTGGACAAAGTATGGTAGGATGGGAGAATTAGGATGATTGTCAGAAAAAAAAGTGTAAAGCCCTGGAGTAGTTAACCCAAGGAGAATAGGGAGTCATTAAGGCATCATTAAGGCATCATTAAGGCATCATCAGAAAAAGATCCTTAAGCACCTGTCAGGATGGTCTAGACATACTGATCCTGGCTTGGTACAGGAGGATGGATTAGGGTACATCTCCATCTCCCTTCCTGCCATGCTGTGGTTGTTCTGTGAGAACCTCAGGTGTGCATTAGTTACACACCCAGCAGCCACCTGCAGCACTGGGAGTCATCTTGGCTGCAGTGACCACAGTTGGGGCTGGTATTTCAGAAGGTTCCTGGGGTTTTCAGTGTCCCCTGGGCCCACCTCGTGCCTCACACTCAGCACTTCTCAGCCTGCCTTTCCATGGCCACACCAGCCTGGGGGCTCCGTGGCCCAGCAGCAGCACTCACAGGGTCTCTGCTCCAGTGGTTACCTTCAACTACAAATCCTGTTATTAATCTATGACCCCTCTTAGAAATGGCTGTAATGCAGCAGCACCTCCCTGCAGCCCATCAGTTCCTACTTTCCAAAGCTGCTTCTGCTAAACAGTGTTGCCTGTTCTGGAATTAAGAGCACGTTAACAGCAACATGTCAGTCCCAAGGGGGTGGCTGCTGAGCAGCAGGGCAGCTTGAATCCCAACTGATTTGAATGGCAAATATTTAAAAAATCCAAAATTGATAATAGAAAAAAAAAGAGAAAATGAAGAGTTTCTGGTAACCAAAACAGGCAGAAGAGGAGCACCAGCCCAGAACCGCTGCATCATCCAGCTACACCCACACATCAGCTTTGCAGCATGTCCTCTGCTCCAGTCACTTCTTCTAATTCACCTTGAACTGCTGCCACGGCTGAAGGAAACTTAGGAGAAACAGGAGAAGCCAGAAAAGCACAGGGCCTACATTGCCCTAAAAATAAACACCCAAAAGCACTCAGAGTTATTCAGAGGTGAGTGGCTGGAGTGAGCAGAGCCCCCATGGAGCAGCACATGGGTGAGTGACACCACCACCGTGGTGACAAATGCACGGGGGTGATGGAAGCCCCATCCTGGGTCACACATGGCACCAGGTCCTGCAGGAGGCTCTGAAACAGACAATTAACAGCAAAACCACGGCTATTGCAATGTAAGACTGGGAGAAAAGCAGCCCATCAGCGGTGCAGGGAAGTATCAGATGGACCAGCTTGGGTATTTTTGTTCTTGGCAATAAATAAACAAATAAAATTGTGATGATTAAGTGGAAGCAAAATAGCCCTGTTATTGATACAAGTGCCTTTGCAGTACATTAAACCCAAGTAATTTAAAGACCAGAGCATTTTACATAAATATTTAATTATTTCTTGGTTAGCACGATGCCACTATAGCTGCCTAAATTTTCAAAGAGGGGGTCGCTTTTTAATTAGAATATGGTCATTACAAATGCACGTGGGTCTTTAATCATTCATGTTGGAAACAAGCTGACTTGGTCATGCATCAGAAAGAACAAAGCAGCTCTTATCTCTCTCTAGATCACACCCAGCAAACCTGAGGGCTGTGAATAAGCGAGGAAGTCTTCCCTGAACGTGTTTTCATCCCCTGTGCAGCACGAAGTTATCTGGGAAGATGCATTTGCTGAGGTCAGGCTGAGAAGGGAATGAAGTGCTGGAGAGTCAATGTGATGAAGAATCAGCCAGCACCAGTCTCAAAGCAGGTTCTCCCCAGCAATCAGGGATGTTGTGAGGGTGGACAGCCAGAGTCCAGATTTCTAAGAGTTTAATTGCTTTCTTGCTAATAGCACTGCAGGCAAGCGCCGTCTCCCTCCTTTCCCGGGTCTCTGGCTCAGTGCAGAGCCCCAGCAGGTTGGTGGCATCTGGACCTGGAGCAGGCAAGGGCAGTGCACAGGGAACCTCAGCCCCGAGCAGCAGATACCGTGGGTGTCTCCCGGCTGCTCTGCTGCTCTGGCTTTTCACACAGAACTTTCCAGAGTCGCTTCCTTCTGCCCTGCACGGAAACAGAGGCCGTAATTCAGGTGCTGCCATAAAGTCTCGCTGCAGCAGGTTGGCCCAAGGGACGGACCCGCAGCCCGGCCGCGGAGCCCCGGCAGCGGCAGCGGCTCCAGCCCGGCCCCGCAGTGCCATCTATTGCCACTCGCTGCTCCGCCGCAGCCAGCCCGGCACACCGAGGAGCCGAGAGGGATTCCCACCTGGAACTGGGGAGCCTTTCCTGTTCACCACACACTGCCCCGCTTTCCTGACAAAACAGAACGTTTAAATGTCCGTGTGTGTTAGACCACGCTAATCTGAAACCCATCTGCGAGCCGAGTTCTCCATCACAGCCTGGGCTCCACAGGGATCATCTCCATCTCAAACCCAAGCTCAACTCCCTCAGGTCCCAGCAGGAGAAACCATTGTCCTTGAGCCAGTGGGAAGCAACCAGGAGAACGAGCTCAGTGAGACTTCACAGCCTGTCCAGGCTGTGGCCACCGTGGGAGGTGGGAAGGGGCTGGTGCAGCCTCACACTGAGGGCTCTGCAGTTTTAGATACATCTCAAACAAAACATCCATTCTCAAGGTATCTTAAAAAGAAAACAAAGCCCCCAAAGCCCAGCAATAAAACAGCAGCTGAGTTTCAGAAGCCTTGCCCAGCACCCAGTACCAAAGGGCATTGGGCAGTGCCGGTCTCCATCCTCCTCCCAAAGCAGCACCAGGAGCTGGCAGAGGCAGCTGGGGATGTGCAGCCTTCACACCCTGCCCCACAGGGCCCTGGGGATGCCACTGAACAAAGAAAAACATTCCACTTCTTCACTTCACTTTAGCCAAATATTTCAGCAGCTTGTCTCTTCCCTCACACATCCTGCAATACTTTGTCATCATAAATTGACTCTGGTTTATATTAACTAAAACCCTCTCTTGTTCAGTATCTGGTTTGAAAAATGTTGGCAATAAGCATGAGTTCAGAGCAGATTTATACCCACAGAGCGTGTGGAGCACTGGGATGAGTTTCCCAGAACAGGAACCCAAGTTTACCAAATAAGAACATGAAAAACCCAAAGAACTCATTCATATCATCCAACTCACACATGGCAGATCCACGAGGGCAGCAGGAATCCGACAATGTAAACCACAGGCAGACATTGCAATGCTCATGGATATGGAAGGAAAACACAGACTGCAGTGTCTCAGGAGGAGACAGAACTTGAAAGGACTGCAGGAGCACATTTAAAAATTCACCACATCCCAAACTGCTCCTGGTGCACAGGAGGGCGCACCTGGGACACAGGAGATGCTCCCAGGGGATCAGCTGATGCCACTGGCTTGTACTGGGTTTGGGAGCAGGGATGAGTAAATTAAGTCCCCAAAACACCTTGATTTTCCAGGAGACACATTGTTCCCAGCAAACTTCCCACTGGGGATAAAACCTCTAAAGATAGAGTCGTGGGATGTGCAGAAACACCTGTCTGCTTTTCCAAATGCTTCCCCAGATTGTCCCAGTTTACATCCCAACCTCCTTCTGTGCAGTCCAACACCTGGGTTTTGGGCCAAAATAGGCAGAGAAGGAAAACAGAGGGAGCTCAAAAATGTCCAAGCATTTAAAAAAAAATAAAAAAATAAAAATAAAATAAAATAAAATAAAATCTACCCTTTTTTTTTCTTTAAAACAGAACTTTGACATTGTTTAAAGAAGAAAAATGTTGTGTTGATAAATAATAATAGAGAAAAGGACTAGACCAAAGAGTAAAAATAGCACAAACATGAAACATAATTTTTGAGTTTCAGGACAGATCTGAGCTCTCCTCAGCTCAGAACTTTGCCTGCTTTTGGTCAGGGGGCAAGAAAATCCCCAGCAGATCCAGACTTGCTCTGTGAAGGGACAGTGAGAAGGGGGATCTTTACTGCACAGGCGAATTAAACAGCTGGAAACCAATTACAATGGCTTCTTCTTGGTAGAAGGGGACAGCTGCAAGAGCAGGGATAACTCACCCAGGGAAGCTGAGAGCGCCTCAAGGATGTCTGGGAGCACCTTTGAGGCCAGCTTCATCTCATGTCAAAAAGCAAAAGCCACAGGAGCTTCCCCAGCGGCTGCCCCATGTCCCGGGCACGTGGGATTTCCTTTCCCTCTGCACTTGATATCTCGGAAAACTGGGATTTCTCCCCCTCTGGCAAGAACTGGACCCCGTTGTTCCCCAAGCAAGGAGAAATTCCGTGTTCTCCAGGAGAGCGCCGGTGGTGCCGTGTGGTGGTGGGGACACAGCGTGGGACCCGCAGGTGGGGACAGGGGGACAGGGGGACACGGGGACAGGGGGACAGGGGGACAGGGG